AAAAAATCTGACATTGAAAATTTCTGCAGACTTTATAAATAAAAAAATCTTTATAAAGTAACCTACGATAAAGTCAGTACGTGTTAACTACAGAATAGAAAGCGTAAAATATTCCTACCATAAAGGATCCAACTTTTGTGATACCGCCTACCGGCAAAGATATTGGATTTCATGAATGAAATCACAGCGTGGCGACCACAAAAGCGACGCGTGATACGAATCGTGGCAAATTGGAGCCTTTCAATACCTCCATAGGTGATGCCCCTTTTATATCACGCGTATAAAATTTACTACATTTTCATGCCTTTGATCCAAATCTAAATGTATAAAAACTGCCCAAAGCCTGATCCATTCAGCGTAATGTGATAGTCTTAAGTAACCAAACACGTTATAATGGATCGCAAAAATTATGAAGGATAAAAAGTTAAGTAAATAATAACAATTTTAGTAATGTCACACAGTACAGATCAGAAGCTTGTTGACACATCTCCTTCCAATCTTTTACTGTCTGCAGTTGCTGGAATAACCATTGCAACTGACGTCACTCACGTCTACAATGATCCAATAGAAGAGCGTTGAACAAATGCTCATCACGTAAGCACCGCGGTGTTCAACACGGGATCGTTGAGCCGGAGACACAGAGTGATCAATCGATTAGAGCGTACAGAACAACTGACCTATATCACAATGCGACCGGTCACTCTATTTCGGACATATAACAAAGTTACACTGCATTGTACGTTTTAGATAGAATAGCCCTTTGTCACTGTAATATTCATAAGGATTGCTACAGCTTTAGATCTTGGGAAGGAAGTCTTTGCAAACAGTATAGTAAAGGCAGCATTTATAATAGCTCTATGTAAACATATCTAGTATTTAGGTAGATCTTTAAAGTTATTTATGACAAAAGCAGAATAGCTTGTGACTTGGATAGTTTACAGTATAAATTGGAAGAAATCTTAAGTCGACTTTAACCGACCTGATATAGAGTCGAAATAATAAGGAAAGTCCACGTTAGTTTGTAATAACAATTGAATATGACTACCAAGATTGAATAGAAAGTAGATACTTGATAACATTTTGTAGTCAAATGTATTACGCAAAACTTTTGCAGCACTTTTCAGTATTCCACTAACAAAAGCCGTACTCGGAAATGTTGCCGCATTTTTCTGCACAAAAGTTTTTACGATCTTAATTAATTTCTGAAGATTTTTTTTTGTCGCGAGGTTTTGTTAAATTTCATTTTCATTTCGAATTTATTACCCCTTTATTATTCTTTTAGTGAATGGTAAAGTAGCTCTTTTTGTACCGCTTGACATAAGAGTCAAGTATTCCAAACCTGGAACAGTTTTCCACATTTCTTTTTGTTTTGTTCTGTTGGGTGGACACTGGAGGTGTTTTGTAACTCTATCCAATTTGTAAAAAATGTAATAAAAATTACTCACTAAAACACTAGTACGTTGGGATTGCTTTTTTCAGTTTTAAAGTATCTTATTCAATATCTAGTCAATAAAAAATCCTTTCTGGGTAAACTGGTCTGGCGAAAAAAATGAGCCATTCATTTTTAAATGAAATGATTTATTTAGTTTAAAACAATTTTACATTTGAAACAACATACGTATCAGAGTATAATTTTAATTGCTAGTTAAAAAATGCAACA